ACAATTTATTTAAAAAAGGTCGTCCGTTAGTTCCTTTAAGTCCCAGTTGATAATACAATATTCCTTAATAACCTTCATGTCTATAGATCATCTGCCAACGTTTTCACCTCCATCCAAGATCTTTGTACACTTCTGGGTTTTTTCACGTATCTCTAAAACCTTTTTTAATCATCCTTGAAGGTTTAAATTCATCATATATCCAATAGATTTCCATCTTTTTTTTATATCTAATAAATCTTTCCTCTTCCACTTCCATTATAGTTTTTTTATTACATTTGTTTTAAATTAATTTACTTGATTGAATTATTTTAAAAAATGACGTACTTGATAGTTTTTACGTAAAAGTATAATTGATTTTTGTTTTTTTTGGCAGTCGTTAGTTGTAATATCAATATCCTAGATAAAAAACATTAAATTCTTTAAATACTGTTACAACAACTCCTTATTATCGTATATTAAATATATATCTAATAAATAATCCGACTAGAAAAATTTACAATACTATACCAAAACCAAAAACTTGAGAGAGTGCATGACTTTGAAATCTGGGAGCCAAACGGAAACATATATTAAAGATAAATTAAATTTTACAGGCTCAGTCAATAAAATAAATTTTTGGCGTTAAGTAAATAAATGCTACAAATTAATTATGTTTTTAGTGTTCGTATTAACAGACTGTAAATGAATTGAATTAAATATTACTTAAAGATGAGTCAACGTTGAGCATTGAAACAACTCGTACTATAGAACTTCGGGAACTTCAAAAGAGTTGCTGTAAAATGCGCATGGGTGAAAAATTTACTAATGGTCTAAACGATTACTGTCTTGTGATATAATCATTTAAATGAAAGTCATGGACGCTTACAAATGTTTGGTTCCAGTTTAGTTAAAAAGGGATAATAAGAATTTACGGAAATTATCTTTTATCGATGCCACTTTCGATCTTAATGACATGGCAAAAAAAGCAAGGAAATACTACATCTTTTTTAATTTTTAAGTATGCTCTTTAACTGACTAAGGTTATTTGTTTAGAAAGCATATATTGGAATCACTGTCAAACTCTAAGTAAAGAACAAAATACATCAAAGTAATTTTAGCGACGAAATAAACACAGAAGTGAACTTTTTTTCGCTATTTTGGTCGATATAGTTTTGTTAAGTGATACTTTAATAGTTTATCAAACTTCTTCTCATGATTTCCCTCATATTTTAAGGTTTCTGAAAGTTATTTTTTGTTATTCTTATATCAAACTGTATTTTTTTTAAAACACTTTATTGTTTTTCACCCTAACGAGGCTTGTTTACCTGTATAAAAGCAGTAGAAATTATAATATCTACTGTTTTATCTCTGAGTTTGCACAGGGAAAAAACTTCATAAAAAAGTAAGGTTGAGTTAGAGTAAGTCCATGCTAGAAATGAAGAAGTTGAATGAAGAAGTAAAAATGGAAAATTATTTTATTTTGGATTAATATTCAGACACCAGAAATACAACTTTCTTGAAAACGTGGTCCTTGTGTACTACAAATAACCTAGCTGAGCAACATCAAGGATTGGACAAGGCTTGACCTCCAAACCTTAATAAGACAAGCCCAGCATAGAGATACATTTACAAAAGTCATCGTCAACTTACACTAGAAACTAGATCTAAAGAAGAAGAAGAAAAAGGTAAAAATCTACTCATTGAAGTCATCATTGAGGAAACTCTGGAATAAAATAGGACCTTAGTACCAATTTTCGTTGATTTCCAGAACATGTTTCACATTGTTTGGATTATTTATCTTCTTTTTTTATGTAGAGGTGGTAAAACAAATCAAGGCGGTTCAAAAAGTTTGGCAAACAACAAGTGGCTGATAAGAAATTCATCAAACGTAATTTATGACCTGTTAGATTGTTTTTCAAATTAATGGAAAAAAGGATACCAAAGATTTTTTCTTACCGTTCACCCCAACTGGAAGGATGGATCTTAGTTCAAAAACTGTCCACTTGGAATCAACACCGTATCTAAGTGGACAAAAATGTCAGCCGAAAAAATTGGAATAGACACAAAAACCATAAAAGGACAAACCACTCTCATCGATCTTCAGCTGTGCCAGTCTGTTCAAGCAAGGTATTTCTGAACAGGAGTTAATTAAATTATCGGGTCACTCAAATGTAAGCTCTCTAAACCAAACCTGCAGCTGGATTTCAGTCACCACCAGAAGTTGATCGAAAGTCTCGGAACAACCAATGAAACTGGACCTTCGAGTTTCCAAATCCTAGAGGTCAATAATACACAAAATCATGTTTTGGTAGAAAAGAATGGGCAAACTACTATAACTTATAATAATTGTACATTTAATATTGTTAACAAATAAAGATTACGTTTAGTTGATATGGTGCATTAATTGTCTGGTGAAATAGTCTTGTCGAATCTCATTCGAGAGAAAATTACTTACCGGCAAAATTGTCTTTTGGTTGTATTCAAGTTTGTTGCCTTTTGACAATTTTCCCTTATGAAATTTTCACAAAATCACTCGACTGACATCTCGTGATTTAACTGACAAAACTTACTTCGCGAAAATTACCAGGCAACAAATTTTTATACCAGTTGAAAGTATTGCCGGCAGTTTTCTCTCTTATGATAATAATGATGACAAAGAAAAGATAAAAGGTCGACAAAGAAGGTATTCAAATGGCGATTTAAATCTAATAAAGAAGCAAGGGAAGATCTACATTTTGGATAGATGATCCGAAAAGAGTAAGAAGAAATTGAGTTAAGTATGATATTTGAGGTTATGTTACGTTAGGTTTGTCTGATTTTAAATAGCAATAAACCTTATTATAAAGTTTTTAAGATAAATTTAAGTTAAATGATAATAGCCAGACAACATAACATAATTGTACTGGTTAAATTTAAAATTCTTTAAAATTATCAAAATAAATATCGGTAATTTCCGAAAATTCTTCGCATATATGTATATATTTACACCTATAACCGGAGATTTTTTCATTGTAAGTGAACCGTTTTTGAGTAGCGTCGTAGCTACTCACAAAGGTATTGTACAAAACATTTTTGCAAAGAAAACAACATCCAAATATCGGACGCAGTAGTAGTAATCGACATACTTATCAAGGAAGCACGTAAGAGATAGAAGATTCGTATGTACATTTAACACTTTTCGCGACGAGGTTTTGTCGGAAGCAGTCGGTTCGTGGGGAGAGGGAAACGAAATATTATTTTGCCAAAATACGATGGAGGCTCAAAAAATAACAAACTGCGATCATTTTTGTCGTGAATTCTACAACAGCTTTGTAGAACAAATGTTCATAAGTAGAGATCAAAATTTTCTGAGCCGTCCATATTCAATATAAAACACGTAATTATTTCAGCAAAACACTTTCTTTTTTTGGATAAACAGCAATGTAGGTTAACTTGAACATTTTTAGATAAAAAACATCTATTACACAAAATTTTCCACTAATATCAAAGCTGACAAAAATATTTTTTATACAATCGTTGAGCATATTTCAGGACTAAGTGTTTTTTTTACAAAAATGCCGCCGTGATCAGGAAAATGCTTTTCGGTTTGGGCTATTGCAAAAATTAGAAGTTTCGAAAACGTTTTGGAGAAACGAGAGATAGACAGGTTATCCAGAAACTCTTCTAGCTAACTTTAAGATAATTTAACCCAATTCACATAGTACGAAAATGCTTCCTAAGGGACCTAGAGCTCTTTGAAGATGGCGCCTTGTAATTAGTTTTTTAACTACCTCCAGATCGCTTCTATTTAGAAAAACAAAAACTGCGGTTATTTTAATGCATAACTTTTTTGTCTTTAACCCTCTCATGCATTGAGTCTACTCCAGTGAATAGATTTTTTAACTGCAAAAAAAATATTTTAAAAGTGCAGAAGTGTGGATGCTAAAAGCATGAACAAAATTGAAGCATCGGAAATGTGGGTTCATAGACGAATGCTGAAGATACCTTGGACAGCAAGGAAAACTAATGAAGAAGTACTAAGGAGCGTCAACAAAGATAGAGAACTGCTAAAGACTGTTAAACGTCGAAAAATGTCTTATCTTTGACATATAGTAAAGAGAAGTCGATATAAAATATTACAACTGATCCTTAAGAAGAATCTTCAAATAGCTCTAGTTCACTTAGAAAAAGCATTTTCGGACTAAATGAATTGAGTTAATTTGTCTCAAAAATTATCTGAGGAATCTTCGGTCTTCGTTTATCAGAAGAGAGTGGGAATGAGGAAGAGATAATTAAATAAACAGTTATCAGCTGTTTACGAAAAGAACTAAAGTAACTTCGTTTTTACAGACATTTTTGCAAATTCTGCGATGACCGCTCATATATTAAATCCCAATTGTGACGTTGATGATGACCCAATATGATGTTTGAGGTTAGAGTAATTTATAAGTTAGGTTATGTGAGGTTATAAAGTCGAAAAAACTGAAAGATTGTCGTTTTCAGCAGAAACTTTTTCTATAAATAATTAGAACCAAGTTCATGTTCTCTTTTATTCCAAAAAGGTAGATTTCTGAAAAAGTGTTGTAAAATCCAGTACCAAACTATATTTTTCTGACCACAACAGCATAACTATATACTTTGTTATACTTCTATATTATATAATGCCATATACTTTTTTCTTATAACTAATAACTGATCCGACAATACCTCTCCGATTTACAATAATTTTACACTTTTTTTTAAGAAATAGATATGATTAAATTTGCACATCTAACTGTGCGATATCACAATGGGTTTACAAGTGAAAAAATAAAGAAAGGTGGAAATAAAAACGAGGAGAGCAAGTTTTACAAAGCCCTACACACAGTGAATTTAATATTTAAAGAGCAGTATGCAAAACTAACCCTCCCCGTCACTAAACATTAACTCCTTAACCTAAAGTAGTACCTGCGTTTAACCAGTCGAGAAAAAATCACATTCATACCAAAAATTCTCAATTAATTGCGAATATAAGTCTTTGTTTTTAATGCCGCGAGTCTTCTTCACACCTGAGAGTTCGGACCAGGCATGTAGCCCAAGTTTTTCCTTTGCAAGAAGAGGTGGATCTCGGAAAACCGTGGTCTGTCGGCTGCGTTTCGTTTCCAGCACTCACCCATCAAATCGTAAATTTCTCTAGGGCAAGCTGCTGGTCGAGGAAGGTACCTAGGAAAGAAAGAAACATTAAAATTGATTGTTTTGATATGCATAGAAGGTATAATACTTTCATAAGATTTTCCGACGAGTTTTTCTAAATTAATAAAGTTATTTAGTTTAAGCAGAAGAACAAGCAGAATTTCGTACGGGTCGATTCACTATTGACCACGTTTTCTCCTTAACCCAGATAATAGCAACAAAAAGATAGCACGGAATCAAGAGATTCATATGTTGTTCGTCGACCTACAGAAAGCCTATGATAGCATTCCACTAAAGAAGCTATAATCAATGGAAAGCACGAATATTAATATAGAATTAATAAAAGACGTCAAAGTGCTATACAACCAACCAATAACAAAAATAAAAGTATTGCCACAAATAACAACAGGATTTATAACATCAAAAGGATTAAAGGAAGGATGTTGTCTGTCATAAAGTGAAAAGTTAGTTTTTGGTGGTTGAAAGTCAAATTTTTGGATTGCAGGTAAGATGAATTTTTTATTGGAAGATAAGACTTAGGGTAATTAACATTGCTACCAGTTTTAAGTCCATTTATTGCTGTATAACCTGTACTATTCATATTGGGGTGTAGGGTTGTGTTATAGAGGTAGCACCTTTTATCGGAACGACCACATCGAGCGTCATAGACGGGAGATGGTTCTTGATAACTGGTCCTCATAAGGCAACTAACTCTCACTTATGGCTCCACGTGCCACACCCCGGGCAACTGCATTGGTCTGCAGGCTAAACTAAGTGAGGGTAGCCAGATATGGCGAAAATTTCACCGAGCGATTGCCGGTATAAGCAATCCCCCACTTACTGACCAACGGCTTCGGGCGGATGAGTTGGTAAGTGTTAGGGCACTTTTTTGTCCTGAGACCGAGAAATCGATCTCGAAGGCGGATGAACCCTACAGAATGGTCAACGGCATAAGGATGCAGAAGGCAACGGGGAACCACTGCATTAAAGACTCATAGAGTACCCCTAGTAGTAATCATCATGGTAGACATGCAAAGGAAAAGTACTGATCATGGACATCGGATACCAAGATCCGGCAGAGAAAGAGAAATAGATAAGTACAAGGCTTTCTCGGTCGTAAACCAGCGAAACCCTTGTAAAAAGAAAAAGACAACCATAAAAATTGCTACATGGAATGTAAGGAGCTTATTTTCTTCGGGAAAATTAGATAACGTCGTCTTGGAAATGGATCGTTTGGGTATAGACATATTAGGCATGAGCGATACACAATGGCCAGGAAACGGCAAATGTCCCACAAATAATCATGGTATGTTTTATTATGCCGGAAGTGACACCAAAACCCATCGATACGGAGTAGGAGTCATCATCTCAAAAAAATGGAAAGATGCTGTACTAAACTTTACTCCATTCTCAGAGCGCGTGATGTTAATACAATTAAAAGATAAGAAGAACATGATAAACATCATACAAGTGTACGCTCCTACAGCAGACAAAGACGAAGAGGAAATAGAACAATTCTATAATATCTTAGAAGAGGTGATGAGAACAACAAAGAGACAACACATTAACATAGTAATGGGCGATCTGAACGCCAAGGTAGGTCAGGGTAAAGTTGGAGAAAATTTTGGTGAATATGGCTTAGGTAACAAAAATGAAAGGGGTGATCGTTTAGTTCAGTTTTGTCAAAGCGAAGATTTAATAATAACTAATACATTCTTTAAACTACCCCCAAGGCGACTATATACGTGGACGTCACCACAACATACACAAGAAAAAGTGGTCAGAAACCAAATAGATTACATATTGGTGACAAAAAGATACCGTAATGCCGTAAAATCTACTAAAACTTTCCCTGGAGCTGATATCGGTTCGGATCATAATCCAGTAGTATCTGTGATAGAAGCTAGACCAAAGAAGATAAGAAAAGCCATCATTCCAGCATTAGACTTAAGCCAGCTTAAAAATGAACATCTACGACAAACAGTGCGAGAAGAAATAAACACCAGCCTCAGTGTAGCAGAAAGCCAAATCCGCAGAACAGACAACATAGATGAAAAACTTAAGTATATAAATACTATAATAAGAACTACGGGAAAGAAACATCTAACCAAATCTGCAAAGAAACATAAGGTGTGGATGACACCAGACATTCTAGAACTAATGGATGAAAGACGTAAAATGAAGAATAATGCAGAAAAATACAAAGAGGTTGATAAGAACATAAAGCAAAGAATAAGAAATGCCAAAGAATCATGGATTACAGAACAATGTGTAGAAATGGAAAACTATGAAAGAAAGTATGACACGTTCAATATACATAAAAAAGTAAGAGAAATTACAGGAACCCAAAGAAGACGTCAAATAAGTTTGCTTAAGAACAAAGATGGAAAGATTATTATAGATTTAACAGAGAAAATTAATAGATGGAGTGAATACATAAGAGAATTATTTGAGGACAACAGAAATAACATTGTTCTGATATATGGCGAAACGGGACCTGAAATTCTAAAATGTGAAGTAGAAATGGCACTTAAAAATTCCAAAACTGGGAAGGCAAATGGACCGGATGAGGTTCCTACCGAATTGCTAAAGCTCTTGAATGATAAATCAATAGGTATAATATTGCACTTATTTAATACAATATACAATACTGGTATTATACCTCAAGAGTGGCTGTTGTCTACATTCGTTACACTGCCAAAGAAATCTAATGCTAAAGAATGTTCAGAACATCGAACAATATCTTTAATGAGCCACCTACTAAAGATATTTCTAAAAATCATCCACAACCGAGTTTATCAAAAGTTGGAGTCAGATATTAGTAATACACAGATGGGGTTCAGAAAAGGGCTTGGTGCTCGAGAAGCTCTCTTCGGTTTGAATGTTCTTACACAAAGATGCCTAGACGTTAATCAGGAGGTACATACGTGTTTTATCGATTTTGAGAAAGCGTTTGACAGAGTACGCCATGATAAGCTTAGAGAGATTCTTGAAAGGAAGGACATAGATAATAAAGATCTGCGAATAATTCTCAATCTATATTGGAATCAGAAAGCTAACATCAAAATAGAAACTGAAACATCACAAGCAATAGAAATACGTAGAGGAGTACGACAAGGTTGCATTTTGTTACCTCTGTTATTTAATGTATATAGTGAAAGCATCTGTCAGGAAGCCCTTTTACAAGCAAACGGAGGAATCGTAATTAATGGAGAGATTGTAAATAATATTCGATACGCGGACGACACTGTACTAGTTGCAAGAACAGTAGAAGAATTACAAAGATTACTTACAAACATAAATATTGCTTGCAACAATTATGGTATAAATATCAATATTAAAAAAACCAAGTATATGGTCTTCAGTAAAAACATGACACAACCAGCGTATATTAGTATAAACGGCACTCAAGTTGAAAAAGTATCAAGTTACAAATACTTGGGAACTTTAATAAACGAAACTGGAGACCAAAACAGTGAAATAAAAAGACGTATCGAAATTGCTAGGGCCACCTTCATAAAGATGAGAAAATTCTTCTGTAACAGAAATATAAGCATCCCTCTACGATTAAGAATGCTGAGAGGCTATGTATTTAACACTCTATTATACGGTGTAGAGGCCTGGACTCTCAAACAGAACAACATGAAAAATATTGAAAGTTTCGAGATGTGGTGCTACCGTCGAATGCTGAATATTAGTTGGGTTGAAAGAATAACAAACTGTGAAGTAATACGAAGAATAGGAAAAGACCCAGAGATTTTGTTAACGCTAAAGCGAAGAAAACTCGAATATTTTGGTCACCTGATGAGAGGACATAAATACGCATTACTTCAAAATATAATGCAGGGAAAAATAGAAGGAAAACGGAATCCAGGCCGTAGAAGAATGTCATGGTTGCGGAATTTGAGAGAGTGGTATGGCTGCACCACTAATGAACTCTTTAGGTCAGCCGTAAACAAGGTCAGAATAGCCTTGATGATTTCCAATCTCCGATAGGAGCGGCACAAAAAGAAGAAGATTCATATTTATTACTGATAGCACTCTTAGGTTATATTTTTACATTTAGTCTGGACACATTGAGTGGGGCACCTTTAAACAAAAGGGTATGGGGCACTATTAGACAAACGCAATGGAAAATAACGTGCTTAAAAGTTATATATATATATATATATATATATATATATATATATATATATATATATATATATATATATATATATATATATATTGATAAAGTTGTGTTTTATTAATTTTATTTTTTTTTATAATAAATGTAATTTTTATAATATGTAGTTCGTTGTTTAATTTAATATACCTCGGCTAGCTCAATTATGTGTTCGTTCTAAGCAATCTGTCACTGTGTGACGTCGACTCTGTAGTCTCCTGGTAGAGTTCAAAAAAAAATTAAACCAAAATTTACTTTAGACCTTTGATAAATTAACTCAAATGAAGCACGTTATTTATTAATATTGAACAAATTTAATATAAACAATAAAATTCGTCTGCAACTTCGGTTGCCTTTAAAAATTTACAAAAATAGGAATCGTTTAAGTCTTACCGTGGTTTAGTGACGTGACAATAAAAATGTATTACAAAATGTGGAGACTCTCTACAAGTACCTAAAAACTAAATAAATATTGCAACTTTATAAAGTGTTTAAATGAACTATAAAGAAAAAGAAAATGAACACTTTATTCCGCTGACTATTCAAATATAATCAAAATTTCAAATGATCCCCAAAATTATTGTCCAACCTCACTTTAAAACAGTTCTGATTTCTTTAAAGGAAACTAACTACTCAAAAATAATCGGTGAAACTGGAATATCAATCCTCTCTTCGGAAGTTAAGGTACGTACTATTCTATTTTTAATTTAATGATCATTAATAATTTCAATTTTTAAGGCCTATCGCAATTATGTTAATTCATGAATTTTAATTTTCTCAATTTAAATGACATTTCTATACTCCAATATAATTTATAAGTGAAATTGTTTCTCTTACTCTCTGGAACAAATTTCTGGATATCTCTGCTGTGGAAACTGTGGAAAAACTAAATTCTAATTAGACGAGTTAAAAAACACTCCCGACCTATTCCACAGTTTCAGGGCTCTCCTTCGTCCAAAAAAAAACCTCGTCGGCGTCCTCTCCAAAAACCAATTCCTCTTATTATCCGTTGCTAACAGCAACCAACGTTCTTTTTTTTTCTGTCTTCTATTTAAATATTTTAAACCATAAAACTGTCCTGTTTGACATATTTGTCAAGCCACATTACTTTCTCATAATCACTTTAATCACATATAATTTGGGAATTTACAAAAAAAAATGTTTAGATATAAAACTTATTCTATTACAATACTAATTTATTCTTTTCATCTCCACATCATTGTAATTTCTTATTTAACAAAACCCCTATTAATTTAGCTCCCACAGACTGTCAAATAAACTGTCAAGCAGTTTATTTTCTGATGTTTATTAAAATTTCTATGTTTAAATATTTTTTTAAAATTCTTCTTTTTTTGTTCTTTTTAAGGTTTAGACGATTCACCTATACACTAGGCAACTATACTATTCAGAAATTATTAACACTATACCAGGTAAGTCAAAATTAATTTATTTAACAATTTACTAATCTTTTTCTCTCTTTTATTTCAGAGTCGAACCCACATTGTGATGGCTTCATGAAATTCATAAACAACAAACTCATATAAAAATCCATTAAAGTTGTATATATTTTAACATATTGAAATCATTTTAATATATATATATATATATATATATATATATATATATATATATATATATATATAGTTATTTAGTTATATATATTTATTATTGGATATTTAAAAAGGGTTTCTCTTTGTTGCCAATTGTCTGAAGATGGTAAGAAATAGACAGAAAGAAAAAACAAAAGGAAATTTCGGTGAAATTCGATTAATCTGTGAAAGAATGTGTACCGGCCATCCTTGATGGTAAATCGATAGGAAATGCTGCTAAAAGAGTTGGATTCAAATATCAAACTGTTGGTATGTACGTTAAAAAGTTTAGAAATAACCCAGATTGCGAACATGATATGAAATTAAAAATGATACTAGAAAGGTTTTTACTGACAAACAGGAATACGACCTATTAAGTGCACGGGAGTGCACTTCAAGATAGACACATGATAAATGAAGCACCAAACGGGACCTTGGGTTTGGCTCATCACTCAGGTTGAATGACCACTTCCAATTTAGTTCATGTGATGCAGCACTTTATAAAATGTTCAGGTTATTCTAAAAAGAGAAGAATGCTTCTAATTTGCGACAATCATAAGAGCCACTTGTCAATTGAGGCAATAGAACTAGCAAGAGCTAATGGCGTGCAGATTTTAACAGTTCCACCCCATTGTACACACATGATACAACCACTGGATGTGAGATTGATGAAACCTTTTAAAACATAATGCTGCAATTGATTCATGGTTGCAGTCTAACCCAGGCCAACTTTTTGGAATCTATTACGTGGCAGCATGTATTGGAATAGTACGTGGCCGTGCCATGTTTACCACAGAGCATTATAAATTCTTTCAAAAAATAGGAATATTTCCAGTTGACAGGCACATTTTCACCGACGATATGTTTGCTTTCCGTTTGGTCAGTGAGAGATCTAATCCTCCAGACGAAACACTTCCTGATGAACCTCTAACATGCCAACTAGCTGCAAGTCTACCAACTTTAGAATCTGTAAAACTTCTTCTTCTTCTACGGCACTACAGCCCAAAATGAGCCTTGGCCTCCTTTATTTTTTAAATTGAAAAAGACTGTAAGACTTGTACACACTTCTAAATAGGTCTAACTGGTAAGCTGGTTTTGTATGTTTTCAATAAAATTGATAGTGTGTAAAATAATTTAATATTTAAGCTAAGTATACTTTCGACATAATAAATGTCATCATCAGAGCTATCGTCAATTAGGCAATAAATACTTCATAGAAGGACAATTGTGCACAAACGACATATCACTTCAAAAATGTAAGTCAAAGACAGCTGTTGTCGTTACTGTATGTGGTAACCATGTTTTTATAAAAACTTTTTAAATGTGAATTATACATATGTATAAGGGTTAGACCCTAGATCTGTGGCCTACAGAGCCCGATCTTTGAATTTTAATATGTCGTTTGTGCACAATTGTTCTATGAAGTATTTATTGCCTAATTGACGATAGCTCTGATGATGACATTTATTATGTCGAAAGTATACTTAGCTTAAATATTAAATTATTTTACACACTATCAATTTTATTGAAAACATACAAAACCAGCTTACCAGTTAGATCCTTTATTTTTTGCCTTCACCCTTGTCTATCTGTGGCTGCTCTTCTCCATACACGGACTCCTAAAAATGCTTGTGCGGCGCTGCTTACTGTGTCTTCCCAGCGCTTTCTTGGCTTTCCAACTGGTCTCTTTCCCTGCATTCTGGCGTTCAGTGCTCGTTTTGGTAGCCTATCCTCTCCCATTCGTATCACATGTCCGGCCCATTGCAATCTTTGTATTCTAATGAAGTTTGACAGGGGTGTTTCCTTATACAGTTGATAGAGCTCGTTGTTATATCGAAGTCTGAAGATTCCGTTTTCCCTCACAGGTCCTAGTATTCTCCTCAGTACTTTTCTTTCGAATGTGTCGAGTTTGTTTTTGGATGTTTCTTTCAGGACCCATACTTCGCTGCCATAACATGCTATTGGCCGAATTAAAGTTTTATATATTCTCATCTTTGTATTTCGGTGGACACTTTTAGACCGAAATATATGGGAGAGGGCAAAATAAGCTTTGTTTGCCTGCGTTATCCTTTTTCGTATTTCTCCATCCTCTGCTCCATCGGCATATATTTCCACTCCCAGGTATGTAAACTTTCCAACCGTTTTAGTGTCATCTTCATGTATAATGTTTTGTGGGATTATATTTCTTCTCGTCTGTACCATTATTTTTGTTTTTTCTGTGTTAATTTCCAAACCTAGCCTTTTCGTTTGTGTTTTTAACTCTGCGTATGCTTCCCGTGCTCCTGTTGATGTTCTACTCATAATATTATTATCATCGGCGTAGGCAGCCAGTTGAACCGTTTTATTGGTCAGTAGGTTTTCTCGTCCAGTTTGCATTTGCCTGACCGCATACTCCAGTGCCAGGTTAAACAATGTTGGTGCCAGCCCATAAAACCACCCTCATCTCCCCAAATTTCAAGCGAAAACTTTCTGCAACCAATATACACTCCATCAACATCAAGCTGCTAAAACTCTACGCCTATGCCCTCTCAACAGCCTGGCCGTTATTTAAGTCCTGAGGAGATACGAGGATCTCTCTCTTCAATCCTGACCCCCCAGGGGGAGTGTAGTGGTCGACGAGATGTCGTGTATTGTCCGTCTCCAGAGATCTCTGTCTCTGGTCATTTCTTTTAACTCATGCATAGGTAATATTATACTAGGTATATAATAGATACGAGGATATTCAAAATCAAAACTCAATATTAGCTCCAAGAAACCATGAGAAAACGGGACAAGCAGAATAATAACTAACACCCCAGAAAAGCTTCTTCTATCAAGAAAAGCTTCTTCAGATCAATAAAAAAACAAAGAAAACCACCAACTCTAATGCTGAACGTACTAAATCTACGAAAAGAAAACTACTTTTTGAAAATGAGAAGAATGAGAAGACAACTGATTATGTAAATGGCAAAATCTCTGATGATAAAGTATTAGAAGAACCAGAGCAAAATTTTTGACAAGAGTGAATTGAAAATTAAAGATTTTGTACTGGTTAAATTTGGGACTGTAGAACTAAAAGATATGTACTATGTTAGGAGAATCATTGGTAAATGGGGATGTTGAAATTTCATTTTTGAGAATGTCATCTAAAGTAAATTATCAATTTTTCTACCACATCGTACCAGATATCTCTAGTGGTTCTTTATCAGAAATTGTAGCCCTTTTGACAACTGCTTCTGAGCAGGGTACAAAGCGACAGAAATCATTATTGTCTTTTTTAGTTTCATTGGAAAACTTCAACATGCATTAGGGGTTTGATTAAGTATCATAATATAGTTTTAAATATTGTAATAAATAATTTCTAAAACCTATATATGAGGTTGTCATTTGTCCAACTGTATCTGAAGCTGCCCCATTCCCCGTCTGAAGGTGCCCCCAAGTGTTTAATATTATAAGCATATATACAGTGAAAGTTGGGTGAACAATGTATTTTATGAATAATATTTTCTTTCTTTATTTCGTGAGGTATTTAGAGTGATATGACAGTTCAAATTTTTATGTCTGAAGGAGCCCCACTCTCCCATACTTTTTGTACAGGACGAAAGCGAACTTCTGGTGCCTGTACTCAAATATCCTGATTTGGTATAATAAGCTAATCAATCATACGAAGGAAAGTCAACTAGGAAGATTTAAATTTAAACTAAAACAATTCCTTTTTAATAATTACTTTAAGACCAACCATATTTGAATCATTTAATTTTCATATACAATATATACAAAATATACAATTTTGAATTAATATAACAAAACCTTTCTGCATTAACATATATTACTTGTATAACCACTAATAATCTAGTTCTCATAAACCAACATAGTCTAAGATTTAGGGGTATTTAAAACAGCTATGTGGAGGCATATCAATGGATGAAAAACTTTTACAAGCCCGATCTATGAAAATTCGTCCATTTATGCAAGTCCCAAGTCTGGTTTATAAGCGTATAAAGAACTGTGATCACAATATTATTATAGTAGAATGAAAAATATACCTTTGACAGCCATCGTTCTGGTACCAATGGTTGCTATTTTCAACTACTTGTTCGCTGGTCAGTTCTGCATACGGTTGTTGTGTACAGAGCATCAGAATCTCCCAAAGAGTGATTGCAAAGGCCCATACATCGCTTTTGGTAGTTTGTCGGCCCTAAAAAAGTAAGAAAACATACGTTATTCTATTGATATTTCATAAAACAAGATTCAAGTGCAGAAATAGTGTTGTTTCTCGATTACTAGAAAATAAAAGTTGCTTACCAGTAATAAAGCTTCCCAAGACATCCATCTTAAAGGTAGTCTGGCTTTCGTATCACTGATGTAGTAGTCATTTTCGTAGCGATCGCAGTACATTGCGTGGTCAGACACTTTTACAGTGAAATTTTTATCTATTACACAATTCCTATAACAGAAAGAACAATGTTAAAGTCTAATCTACAAAAAAAAAAAAAAAAATAAAAATAAAAAAAAGATCCTAAAAAGTGAATATTAAAAAAAAGGTACAAAAATACTTCAGTAGATAAATCGTCTTGGAAAATATACTTCTTCTTGTAGTTTCTTCGGAAGTTGGCTATCATCACAGCTATCCGTACCTTATTCGCGGCTGCGTTGAAAAGATCTACTGAGCTACAACTATATCATTTTTTTAAGTTTTCTTAACCAGGAAATTATTCGTCTTCCTATGGATCTTTTACCCTTGAGATATTATGAGCCTTAATATCTCATTTCGCACATCTCTTAATGTGCCTAAATATTCCAGTTTTTTTAGTTTGATGTGCGTTATGACCTCGCAATCCTTTTGAAGCCTTCTTAACACTTGTATTTGTAACTCCTGTACAACCTGCATTTGTAACTCGTTGGATCCATGATATTTAAAAATCCTTTTATAGCGCTACATCTCAAATGATTCCAACTTCTTTATATTATCCACTTTTAGTGTCCAGCTTTCCACTCCGTACAACAAAGTCGAGAACACGTAGCATCTTAAGGCTCTTACCCTCAGATCCAGAGGAAGGTCTCGATTAACAAACATTGTTTTCATTTTATAAATGCTTGTCTTGCAATTTCAACGCGTGTCCTTATTTCTCTACCTTGGTCATTATTTTCATTTCCAGGTTCCCAGATATTTGTAGTTATTCACTCTGTCTACTTGTTTTCCCTCGATATCTAGCCTTGCTACTGTATGTTGCTTGGAAATAATCATGGACTTGTTTTTCTTAACGTTCATTTGTAGTCCATATTTGATACTGACTTGATGTAATCTATTTACTAAGCGTTGCAATGCTTCTAGACTGTCTGCAAAAACAGCGGAATCGTCTGCGAATCTTATGTTGTTTAAGATTTTTTCGTTTATTGATATACCCTGTTGTTTCTCTGATATTGCTTCCTTAAAAATAGCTTCGCTGTACAGATTGAATAATAATGGGGACAGCACGCAACCCTGTCTAACACCTCTTTAGATTTCTATTGTTTCTGGATCGACATTTTCGATTATAACCTTTGCTTTTTGATTCCAGTACAGATTGACAATAACCCGTATATGTCGACTATCTACATTCTTTTCTTTTAACAGTTTTACGAGTATATGATGTCGTACTCTATCAAAAGTCTTTTGATAATCTATAAAGCAGACACAGAGATCCTGGTTCATAACTAGTCGACTTTGCGCGAGAACGTTAAAAGCGAACAGAGCCTCTCTCGTTCCTGGTCCTCCTATGAATCTAAACCGAGTATTATCTATATCTTCTTTTATTATCTTATGCCGTTTGGTCAACGGCATAAGAATATAGAGACAACGAGAAACCACTATATTAAAGATCCCTATGGATATCTCTAGTACAATTATAATGGCTGTACAACTCAATAAAAATTCGCATACTGATCATGGACATCGGAGACCAAGATCCGGCAAGAGAGGTCATTCCCATGACCACAGGGCCTCTCAAGTCGTTAATATGCAAAATCCCTGTGAAATACCCAATAAAACACCTTTAAGAAAAGTCCACACGAATTGTCTGAAGAGGATATCCACTTGGAACGTTAGGACGATGGCTCAATCAGGAAAAATCCAATGCGCAATTAAAGAAATGGAACGCATAAACAAAGTCAACAACTTCATACCAGTGAACGATAGAATCCTCCTGTTACAAATAAATACGTCACCGGTGAACACAAACATCATACAAGTCTATGCACCCACAGCAGACCATAGTGATGAAGAAATATCAGAATTCTACAAACAAATAAGCAACCTTATAAGAGATATACCGAGACACGAACTCCTTATAATCATGGGAGATTTCAATGCAAAAATAGGTAACGCAAAAGAAGGGCAACATATTGGTCCACATGGATTAGGAGAGAGAAATTAACGCGGAGAAACAATGAGTATCTTTGCAGCTAAGCATGACTTAATTGTGCTAAACACATTTTACAAACTACCGCCTAGACGCCTGTATACGTGGAAATCACCTAGAGACAACGGAGAAGACGTTATTATTAGAAATCAAATAGACTATATGCTTGTTAACAAAAGATATCGAAATAGTTTCAACAGTGTTAAAATCTACCCAGGCGCTGATATTCAATCTGACCACAATCCTTTAGTGGGCGTGTATAGAACTAAGTTAAAGAAAATACGCGGAAAAACTGTAAAAAAAAACATGACATGAGAAAACTGAAGTGGCGAAGTAAATGAAATAGTCAGCAAAACATTAAATAGAAAATTTAAAGAAATCGATAATACAACGGAAAGCACAGAAGATAAGATAGAATCCCTTAAGAAAACAATAGACGACATTAAAGACAATTTTATGAAGAACGAAGAAGGTAAGAATAAGACATGGATGACGACAGAGATTCTGCAACTAATGGAAGAAAGAAGGAAAAACAAGAACGATAACTCCATGTATAAAACATTACAACGAGAGATACAGAGAAAGATCAGAGAAGCCAAACAGAAAGAACTGGAGAAAAAATGCCAAGAAATCGAAATTCTCCAAAGTAAATACGACGACTTCAACGTGCATAAGAAGGTAAGAGAAATTAAAGGTAAATGTAAAAACAGAAGAGTAAGTAAACTTGATAATGACAATGGAGAGATAATCATGGACAAAGAGAGTATCAATGATACCTGGAAAAATTACATAAGAAATTTATTTTTTGATGATAGAGAGAACCAGCCCCCAATACCTACGGAAACAGGACCACCTATACTAGTGGCAGAAATAAGAGCAGCCATAATATCACTAAAAGAAGGTAGAGCTCCAGGACCAGACGGAGTACAATCTGAATTTCTTAAACTTCTTGATGATGAATCTTTAAGAGTACTATGTAAAATCTTCAATAATATCTATGACACAGGCAATATCCCAAAAGATTGGCTACTTTCAGAATTTATTACCTTACCACAGAAACAGGAAGTAAAAACGTGCGGAGAATATAGGCTAAAAAGTCTAATGAGCCATACATTAAAACTTTTTCTTAAAATTATACATCGTAGAATATACAAGCTATGCGAAGAGAGAATACAAGACACACAGTTTGGATTCATGAAAGGCGTAGGTACAAGAGATGCACTGTTTAGTCTACAAGTATTATTTCAAAGATGCAGAGATATGACTTGCGATATTTACACCTGCTTTGTGGACTACCAAAAAGCATTTGATACAGTTCAACACCAAAAAATGATGGATATTCTAACAAAAGCCCAAATGGATGATAAAGATCGGCGTATAATACAAAATTTATACTGGAACCAATCAGCCACAATAAGAACGAATTTTGGAGGTGAACCAACGGAAATGATCCAGATTCTACGAGGCGTTATACAAGGTTGTATACTTTCACCTATATTATTTAATCTATATTCAGAGGAAATATTTAGTGAAGCCTTGGAAAAATGCGAACATGGAATACTTCTAAATGGAGAACGCCTAAACAACATCCGTTATGCAGACGACACCGTTATTTTTGCAGACAGTTTGAACAGTTTACAGCAACTAATAAACAAAGTAAATGAAGTAAGTGAAAGATTTGGACTTCAAGTAAATATAACAAAACTAAATTTATGATATTCAGCAAAAATAAAGTTAGAGACGCTCAACTACTTATCAATAATACACCAGTGGACCGAGTAAAACAGTATAACTATCTTGGAACAACAGTAAATGAACAATGGGATCACTCACAGGAAATAAAATGTAGAATAGAGAAGACTAGGAGTGCATTCAATAACATGGCCAAACTCTTTAAAAGCCACAATCTTAATCTGGAGATAAAAGTAAGGCTCCTACGATGTTATATCTTCTCAATATTGTATTACGGAGTTGAATCCTAGACACTAACTGAAGAAATGGAGAAAAAACTTGAAGCCTTCGAGATGTGGCTATACAGGCGAATTCTAAGGATATCATGGACAGACAAGATGACCAATGAGACCGTATTACGAAGAGTGGGCAAAGAAAGAGAGGTGATGTATACCATTAAAAGGATAAAGTTGGAATATCTCGGACATATAATGAGAAACAGCACTAAATACAGATTACTGAAGGTAATCCTACAGGGTAAAGTATTCGGAAAGCGAGGAATTGGGAGAAGGAGAATATCATGGTTGAAGAACCTGAGGAAATGGTTCTCCACAACAACAACGAATTTATTTAAAGCAGCAGTTAATAAAATAATTATAGCCAGAATGATTGCCAATATTCGGAACGAATAGGCACTGAAAGAAGAAGAATATATGGTCGAAAGATCTACCAGTACAACAAATAAATTAATCAAAAAGATACACCTCTTAGTTATGATCCGTATGACAGAATCTCCAGAGAGATCATAAAAATCATAGTGATTCATCACTTAGTGTGCCAGTAAGAATACCCCAGACAGCTCATGAAGAGCTTTGGGTAGACTATATAAACTTTATTTTTATTACTGAATAGATAAGTCTATATTTAATTAATTCAAAAGGAATGATGCAGTTAAAAAGACTAAAAACGAAGGAATCTGAAGGTTGCCCAAAAGATTTTCGATATTTTAAAATGCAACAAGACCAAATTTTATAAAAATGTAAAGCCAAATCACCAAAATGAACAGGAATGTTTTACAACAATTTACAGATTTTTCTTCTTCTTGATGTGGTGCTTCCACCAATGAAGTTTAGCAGTTATGTTTGTAAACCTTTCTCTGCTTTCCTCATTTCAGATATGTCTTCTAAAATCTAGATGTAACCAGATTCTAATGTTATGTAAACAGGACAATTTTTTTCTGCCAATACCACATTTTATTTCACTTAACCTTTATAACTAATTCAAGATTGTAATGCTTTTAGTGACGTAGTAAAGGAATCAATTTATTTCTAAGATAAGGCTAGGTTTTGGTATATTGAGAATACAAATTGTATCGCAGAAGAAAATTAAGAATGCTATGTAACACCAAATTTAAAATAATACTTACCTAGCAGCTAAATCCCTGTGCACCAAATCCAACGATTCCAAATACTTCATTCCGGAAGCTACTTGGGTTGCAACGTATATTAAGCATCCATAACTGAAACAAAGAAATCATGATCATTAGAGATACGTAATAGTTTTTGAGGATTGATATATTCGCATTTTTGTCTCTTTTTTTTTATTTAGTGGTAGTTAACAACCAGAACAAGTGAAAAACAGTTAATATCTAAAAAATAAATATACGTTGTTTGGAATATTTATTAAATCATATAAAAGAGTTTTCAATAAAGAAAAAGTCTTCAGAAGAAATTGAAATTAGATGTGGAGTTAGATTTAATTGTTTTTAATGCCTACTCAGAAGAGATCCTGAAATTCGCTCTTAAGGGTGAAACAGCTGGAATAAAGGTAAATGGAGTTTAAATTAACAATATTAGATATGAGGACGACACTGTGATCTTAGCCGAAAATATTGAAGATCTTCTGAGACTGGTGACCAAAATAGCGGAGTATGGAAAAGAGTATGGTCTAACAATGAATGTCAAGAAGACGAAATTTATGAGAATATCGAAAACTCCAATAAATAACGAGAATATTCTAATAAACGGAACCAATGTCGATCAAGTGGACAAATATGCACATCTGGGAACAATAATTAACTCCACAAATGCATTCAGGAGATCAAAATCAGAATAGAAAAGGCTAGAGCCGATTTCATCAAGATGAAAAGAATGCTATGCACAAGGGATTTAAAATTGGAACTAAGAGTTAGGTTGGCGAGGTGCTAGTTTTTTCGACTTTATTTTATGGAATGGAATCTGGAACCTTGAATGCGACATCAATGAAAAAACTGGAATCATTAATTGTCACAACCAAAGAGGTTCTGAGAAGGATGAATAAAGAAGTAGTAATTTTAAATACAATTAAAACAAGAAAATTGGAATATCTCAGACATATTACACATGGAGAGAAATACACTTTGCTCCAACTGATTATGCAGGGAAAGATTCAAGGTAAAAGAAGCATATGGAGGCGTAGAATGTCATGGCTGCACAACCTGAGAGAGTGGTACGGATGTACATCAAATGAACTTTTCAGAGCAGCTGGCTCCAAAAGTCTGAATAGCTATGATGATTACTGACCTTCGCAGCGGAGATGCCACTTTAAGAAGAAGACCAACTAGCACAGTTAAAATAATAGCAGCTTCTTGATAGATATATCTTTTCCAATGATTTTTATCCAGTTCATTTATATAGAAACGACTTACTACTAACTAAAAACACATATTCACAGAAGTAAAAATTAACCTACAACTTTCAATATGCCATCTGTTAATAGAAACGTAAGTTTTGCGACCAATTCCCATTAAAACATACATGGGAAATTGTTATGAAATAAATATGAACTTTGACTACCCGAATAAGTCATGTCATTTTCCAAAAGATTTTTTTTTTATTTAATAAAACTCCAATAGGAATATTATGATTATTGCTATCTGATCATTCACTATGATCAATAAGCAAGTTACTACTTTAGCCGCACTTTGTTCGGCTTTTTCACTTTCACTCACTTATAGCACTAACTCAAACGGCTTCGTTCTCTTAAGTCTTCTTATCTGTTGGCGTTGTCTAGGAGTTTGATGGCCACGACATTCACGTCGTTAGAGAGCCTTTGTTCATGATTCTCGGAAAACTTACATATTATTGTTCTGAAGCTATTTTCTTGTGGCATTTTAAATTAATTACTAGTTAAATGGAAATAAGCCACAATTAAAGGGTAAAGTACGTTTATTGACGTTTCAATTTCCACTTCGGAAATCGTTCTCTAAATACAAACTTACTTATTGTCTGGATAAGCGTATCCATTTGGAGGTCTCGATGAAAATCACAGTTTCTGAAGTACCATGGAGCATTAACGGTGGATGCAGCCCTATAGCTGTATCCCATATGTCCATATCGGTTTAAAAACTTATACAATAACAATTTGTTATGAGTAGACAGAGTGGATTTTTTCTCATCAACTAGTACATCTTTCTGAACTTAATTTCTAATTTCTCCTTTTTTTTCTTAACATGTGCTTTCCAACGTAGCTTGGAATCTAATGTCATACCCAAATATTTTGCCGTATTTACATAAGGTATTTGGTTTCTATTTATACTATTATATGTTGTTCTCTTTTGTTAGAAAAAATTGACATGAACAGATTTTGTTTCATTTAATTTGATACGCCATCGCCTGGTCCAGATATTAATTTGTTCAACAGAGTTCTGTAGCATGGTTGCTGCATCCTCGTGGTTTTGTCCGACTGCTAGAATGCATGTGTCGTCTGCAATTGTATTAAGTTCTAATGATGGAATATCGCTGGTATAGAGCAGGTACATCACTGGCCCCAGGACACTTCCTTGTGGAACTCCAGCTTTAACTTCTCTTAATTCTGAATATGCTTCCTCATATTTAACTCGAAAGTATCTGTCGGATATATATATGATTCTAGTAGTTCAGAATATTGTTTTGGTAAGTAGCATCTCATTTTATGATATAATCCGTCATGCCACACTTTGTCAAAAGCCTGCGCTACATCGAGGAAAATTGCGGAACAGACTTTTCCTTCTTCTAGAGCGTTTTCTACTATATCTGTTATTCTATGCACCGGATTTATCGTTGAATGGCTTGCTCTAAACCCAAACTAATGATTAGGAATTAAATTTTTTTCCTCTATAATCGGTTTTAGTCTCTTCAAGAGTAATTTTTTGTATAATTAAGACATGGCAGATAACAGTGAAATAGGCGCATATAAGGAAGATTCTTGTATAGTTTTTCCCGGTTTTAGTGTCATTATAATTTCTGCCAACTTCCATATCTCTGGTATGTACCTCAGCCTAAAGGAAGCGTTTATAAGATGTGTTAATTTTATAATAGGTTTCCTTGGAAGTTGCTTTAACACTTCCCCAGTAATTAGATCAAATCCAGGAGCTTTCTTTGGATTTATATTTTCTTTTATTTCCAAATATACTTCTTTTGGAGTTACAAGGCTAATCTCCATTTCATCTTGATCAAGGATCTCCCAGTTAATTATTTCTTGTTCTTCATTTGGTTGAAAAGTATTGTCTAGGTGGTCAGCAAACCTGTTGGTTGTTTATTGTTTCTTGTCCAGCTACCATTAGTATTTCTAATTGGTGGATTCTGTAAGATTGGCATTTTTAATCGTTTGCTAGCCTTCCACAATGAGTATTTGTGTAATTTCTTTTTTTAATTTTTGTGTGGCATTATTTAATGTAGTTTTATCAACTGGTGCTCTAGACTGATGTGACTTGAGTTTCAGTTTTATTTTTTCCGGTTATCATTTCTGTGATCAAAAGATGATGCCCTAGTGGGTTATATCAATTGTTGCGATAATGCAATATTTCATAGATGTTGATCGTAGTTTTATTGTGATCAGCTGACGTTTGTTTACACTTACCGTCGAATAAAACAATTGATAGCATTGTGTATTGTCCCCCGGTGCTTTTATTTATGGTCCTAATGCTAGTACTATTACTACTGTACTATTACGTGTACAGTAATTTTAGAGATAGCATTTATAGAGGAATCTAAACAAACTATTTTTAATTCCGCCATAATAGAGACCCTACAATTTTTTTATAGCAAAAAATTCATACTAAAAAGCAATCTCTTGCGCCGGCATACGCGAAACGAAAACTGCCACATAGCGGAGCAAGTGCATGTCGGCCTCAAAGGGAGTTACTTCTTTTGAAGAGACGGCGCGCCGACAAAAAGGAGTTCAAGAAGTTTTCAATTTAATATCTAACAAACTCCGCACATTATAAGCCATCCTCGACTGCGATTTTCCTCTTTGGTTTCGCTTTTTCTTTCTTTTAATAAACGAAAATAATTTGATGAGCGAAGTCTTTCACCGACGTAAGGAGTTGAGTGATTTGTGTACTCTGGACGTATGTTACGATTGTGAACTTACAAAAAATTGCTCTGGGTAAATATAAATACGAAGCTAAAATCATGAATGTGTTGCTTGTGTGAGTCCATTTCAAATAGGTAACAAAGAAATAAATAAGACTTACTCACAATCAGTTTAATTTAACTACCTAGACGACCGTTTTCGCTTTCTACAATTTGCAAAGCATCTTCAGATCAATCGATACAAAGATAATTAAATGCTGAAATAATGAAACCCTTATTAGGGTGCTGTCTTATAAAGATAAACGTAAAGATAAAATAATATAAATTACAGTAATTATGCCAATATTACATGTCTGTGGTTTTAATAAGAATAAACTGACAATAAGCATAAGCAGAATAAGCAGACAAAGTAAGACGCACCAATATACCAAACGATATGAAAAATCGTTTTCTGTATCCTTTATGCTATGCGATATATGCAACATATAGTTGGCCATTTAATATATAAAGCGATAGCGGCTTTCGCTAAAAGATTTAATTCTTTACACATTTCGCATAGCATAAAGGATACAGAAAACGATTATTCATCCTACTAAGGCTTCCTGATTATCAAGGAGAACGTCATGATGGAAGAAATCAAGCGAAGAATAATCCTAGCAAACAAATGCTATTTTAGATTGAGTAGATATATGAGAAGCAAAAACTTAAGCCAGAAAACAAAAATAACTATATACAAAACCCTTATACAAGGAGTGTTGACATATGGATCGGAGACATCGACCATTTCCAAGGCAGATGAAAACCTCCTGCTTATATTTGAACGAAGAATCCTGAGAAGAATATTCGGTGGCATCTGTGAAAATGGTGTTTGGAGAAGGAGGTACAACTACGAGATATATCACAGATATAAATATATATTTGGTATATATATTTATATTTGTGATATACCCTCCTAGAAGAATCCTTATGTCACAACCTGTGGGAAGTAGAAGTAGGGGTAGGCCAAAACTCAGATGGAGTGATGGTGTAGATGAGGATGGTAGAAAAATAGGCGCAGAAAACTGGCAATAGCTGGCAATGGATAGAACTGACTGGCGTAATAGACATGGGAAGATCGAGGCTCTTTTATAGGGTTGTAGCATCAATGATGATGATGATGAATAAACAGATTTTGCAGTAATTTTTT